GATCTGTATGCCGGAAGCTATGAAGGATCTCACGAAGGACCGAACTCCGTCCAGTCAAGATGAATTCGTGAACAGGAAGTCGTATGTCCGAAGATGTTGTCTTGATCCAGATGACCCCGGGAAATGCTTGGGCTTGCGAAGATTCGAAGTAAGGCTCAATTTCTGAGGCTTCCAATATCGCTTTCTTGATAAGGAAGGCTGGGTTTGAGTCCCGGCTATCACCTCCGACCACATCCACCGGGCTGACTGTGTCTCTAAATGAGCTGAAAGGAGACAAGGGGAGGTAGTCCACCCATAAGGTCGGCTGAGAAACAAGAATCTGCTCCCGAGTTACCTCACAGTCGCGCTGTACGGCTGCAAAGGCCCCATAAGCATTGCTGGAAACGCCGATCACTCGAGACAACCCAGGTATCCTAGCGAATTTGTAGTCCTTGGCCGAGTCTTTTGACTTCCTGCGCTTCTCTTTGCTCCAAGCAGAACCGGATACGGTACAAATAATGACCGACCCATCCTGCCCAACGTCAAAATCCCTTGCTGCCATATGAGATCTTTTCACAGACCAGATCCTACTCGGTGCCGACATGGAGTTCCGAGGTTTGAATGGATTTGTCGTTGATGTTGACGTTGAGGGGACCTCTGTCTTGTTGACTTGCACTGTGTATACCTCTCCGAAACTTGACAGAGCGCAGATGGTATTGCCAGCGGACTTGACTTTGACCACTTGGTTGACAGAGGAGCCATATCTCGTGGCCATGAAACTATCTTTGATAAACCTGGAACTGACATCTAGCGGGAATGATAGTTTCGAGTAACCATACTGGGAAAACACCCATACTTCATGGTTCTGAAGAAGAACCGATGTTGCCTGATCGATCGCGGATACACTCTGAATGGGAGCACTGAACAAAGATGCTCCTACGCGTCGAGGAATGATCTGCATTCCAAGAGATCGAGCATCGGAGTCGATCAGTCCAAGTTGTCCTTCGTTCTTGCCGAAAGTATAAAGACCAGAATTGCTGAAGACAACGGAGTGCACTGCTGATGCAGCCGCCCCGATGATTAACTCCTTCTTGAAAGGATTGAAAATTTGTCGGGGTTGCTTTTGCAGGGGCACATCGTCCTGATTGTTGGACCTTGGCAAGCTGTAACCCAACTGACCGTACTTGTTGCTTCCCCAGCTGAAGATTTCCCCATTCTCGGTGATTGCAAGAGTGTGGTCCTGGCCTAGGGCCACGGAGACCACCTTCTTATTGGCAAGGCCTCCGCCCTCGATGCAAACGAAAGTGAAACGTGTGGTTTCGTCCCCAGTGCCTAGTCGTCCACCGGGACCAAAGCCACACAAGAAAAGGTTCGACTCGGGATCGGTGGTAAGGATAGCCGTGTGAAGCTTAGACATAACAACATCTTGGATCTTGATATGTTTGTTTTTCACAATTGCAGGAAGATCATTGGCACTTGCATTGTCTGAGTCCTGTTGAGCATCGGCCTTGCCAGCCTCCAATCGCTGTTCCTGAAATTCACGGAAAAGTCGTTCCAGAAGATGCCCTGGTCTCTTGAGGGTAATACGCTCTGGAAACTGACGATCATCCTGATCTCCAACACCAAGATTCAGGTTCTTGTTACTGCCGAATGTAAAGACCTCGTCGCCATTTAGATTGGTGCTTGGCTTCAAGACACCCCTGCTAAAGCGGCTGTCGTGGTCAGGATCATCGTCCTCCGATGAGATTTCAGAGGTGAGATCGTTATGCTCAACCTCCGCAATCAATTTTCCGGAGGTGAGAGAATCAGAGCTTCGTTTAATGTCTCGCGCCGCTATCGTGGCTGCGTACACATCAAACGGGCTGTATCCCTCTCGATCCTTAATTCGAATCAAACTTCCAACCGGAAGCCCGGAGTTGCCCGCTATGCTGAAGTCCGTGGCGTCGCGCATGTCCCGGACCATCAGGGCCTGTGCGATTGTAGCGTTTCCCGCATAGAGGGCTCGATGCAATGCCGTCCAGCCGCTCTCCCAGTCTTGCACATAGATATCCAGGAAAGGAACCTGGAGCAAGGCAACGGCAAAGTCTATTGCTGTGGGTTTTGTCGATGATGCCACAAGGTGTAGAAGTGTGCGCCCGTATTTGTCCCTCACGTTCAGTTCTTCCCTGGACAGGGTCTTACCAGTACGTAGATTGACCCCACGCTCAGGAATCGGAGTCCCGGGAGAAGTCCCACTCAGCTTCTTGCTTCTGGTTGAAACCCCCGGCGAAGATGTCAGTCCTAACCCAGGGCTCCCAGCCTTCAAGCTGCTTCCATTCCCTGCCGTTCCAGTGGCAGTTGCCAGGAAGCGCTGGAAGCTCTCGACATCATCGTAGAGAAAGAATCCCCAAAGCTTGCTACTCATGTGCCCAGAATTTGTGTCAGAAACTCTTATCGACGCAGGACCAGAACGTCGCCGTGACCGCGGAGGGTTGGCGGGCGCACTGGCAGAAAGACTGCGGGAGACAAGAGTATTCTAACGGGACAGGAGGAGAAGTCGACCGCGGTCAACTCTTGGAGGAATTGTTCTCTGAGCGGTTTGATCGAGGGTGACAAGCGCGATAGACGGGGAAAGTCGAAGAGAGTGCGAGCGGGTGCGGACTGAAGGCCTGGCGGAAGCGGGCGTGTCGCGAGTGAGAGAAGTTGTGGTGGCGATGGATAAAGCTAGCAGTACACGAACAGTCCAGAACTCGACTGGTGGAGGTGGGGGGAAGGGGGGTCGGAGGGAAAAGGGACGACACGTCGATTCGACTTTGAGACTGGTACGCGACCGTGTTGAGGCTACGGGAAGGGGAGTTGCAAGTGGTATAAGGCGACGGATGGGAGGGGAGGTTCGAAAAGTGGGAGAGAGAAGAGGGGGATGGAATCTGACTGGAGTGCAGGTGGTAGTAATAAGTTAGCAGTAATAATCATGGATCATTGATTGATGGCTTTCGACCCGTGGATAAGACCGTCCGGGCGGTGGCCAATCGGGGATTGTACTCCCCTCCATGCCCCCGGACGAGAGGCCGACGACGAACCTTTTCTTTCTTCCTCCTTCTCCTTCTTCTCCTTCTTCTCCTCAGCTTCTCACTGCTGGCTCTTCTTTCCGTTAGGGCTCTCTAGGGCTCTCTAGCTTCTAAGAGGTTCCGTGCTCAGCTCAGATGATTTACCTCGGGATATATGCTCCCCGCATCGCGGGGTATCCGGCTTGAGAAAGAGCATGTCCACCGTATAGTGACTTATAGTTGTATAGTAGTATGGAGTAAGCGCATCTGATCAACAGGGGCGGCAAATCTCGTCCCGATCGCTAGTTTTGCATAGCTTCAGGATATGACGCAGCAACATATATCTTGAACTGTTGAGGAAGCTCTTTTCATCTCGCTCCTCATCGGAGAGGTCACCGATGGTGTGGCCCCGTTCGGCAGATGAGTGACTTTTGGTTGACTCCAGGAATATTGACTCCAGGAATATCAAGGACATCCTCTCATCCGAGGACAAACATGTATTGCGGCTGTGTGGTCTGTAGAGGTACGCTGGGAAGTTCAAGGTAAGTTGTTTTAAATAGTTACCAAGTTGGGTCGGTTGGAAGGTAGGTAGTCAATGCCGCAGACTTTAAATGAGGCTGAAGACAAAGAATCACCCGATTGTGGCTAATGATAGTCAAGCCCCAATTGAAACACATACGCACGCAGTAACTTCCTCCGTAGGGGGTACTTCATGGCACAATGCTCTAAGGTCATAATCTACCATCTAAAAAAATGTTGATTCTGCTCAAGAGGGGATGAAGGTGGTGTCCGACTCATAGATCCGGGGTTGCAAAATTAGCAGAGACATCTAGAATCATCGGACTAAGCATCCATCCATTATCAACCAGTGCATTACATTATACAGGTTCACACGGTTAGAATTACTTCAGAGGGGCTTGTTATCTTGTCAGTCAAGTGGTCACGAGTACCTACTTCAATTTTACTTACCTACTTTATCATACTTCTAACAACTGCAGAGGTATGCTACGTGCGCAATGCAGCTGTGATCAGCTCAGCACGAAAAGATGGATTTGTGTGGTGGAAGCGACCAAAAGGCCAAGGTGACTGGCCATCATTAGCGAGGAAACAGGACAAAGGTACGAACGAAGCACGGAGTCAGCCAGCTTCACATTTCATGCATACAGCTGCATCACCAACTGGCCCCAAACAGACTGGATCAAGTCGGTGGTCGTATGTCGACCGAGCGAGCTCTCGACCTTCGAGCTCGGTCGCTGGTACTTAATCCTGGTCGGGGAGCTGATCCATATATAACTACTAGCCCTGAGTAGAATCGTGGGTAGCTAGCTATCCACGCTCCAATCCAGAGTCATCATCGAAGAGTCTAGGTTGTCTTAGAGGCCTTAGCCAGCCGCCTTTGCAGCAGAATCCGCAGTTCCGGTGCATCATGCCGGTAGTGCGTTGTACAGTGCGAGTCCTGGGATTGGCTCTTGTTGCTGGGCAGAAGCTCCTGAAAGTTCACAAGGAATCGCTAAGGCACTGTGCCTTGTAGACCGGGCAACTAGCATCTGCTCTCCACCTAACCAGCAGGCCGTTGCAGGTGAGGCAGCCAGTCCCAGGAACTTGAGGAAGTGGTCCATGCTGGCGGGTGCTCCAACAGGGGATGATGGGAGCCCCATTCCTCTCTCCATGTTGCAGGTAGATTAGCACCTTTGGTTGGAAGAGAAATTCGCCGCTGACCGGAGGGTTTTTCTTAGGGGGTGGGGGGAGAGAGAAAGATGAGATGTGAAGGTTATTGGTAGAAGAACTGAAAGAATACCAGCTGCAAACCACAAATAATTCACAGGCCGATCGATGTCGCAAGCAGCTCAGAACAGCAAAAGAGCATGTTGTCATGGGCGGTGATTATCATGCAAGTTGATTGATCGCCCCAAGCGCACGCCCGCAGTACCCTGCTAGCCCAGATCGGGACTAGAGCCTGTTTCTTTCCATTGACCCTGTTCATTTATTTTCAAGATGAATGCATACTGGTACCGAGTATGTGTCGAATCTACGAGTACTCACATACTATACATCCATGTGTAATTATATGTAACAAATAAGATGAAGGAGGTATGGAAGTGACAGCCACCTGATGGAGCAGATAAATGATCATCATGCCGATTGTGGTCAGGAATCTATACTTAGGTAACTACTGTACGGAGTACAGTCCAGTTTATCAAGCCATGAAGTCATGAGGAGGATTTCCTTATCAGTGCCGATTACCGTCCATGACGGCTCCACGGAGCTGTTCGATCAAAGACAGGCTGAAACAAACCTTCCCTGTCTGGTATGTATGCCTATGTACCGTCACGGGTTATGCTCTTGACCGCCTTCCAATTTACTGAGACCTTTTTAAATGCAGTGTTGTGGGTGTAAGAGGTTTGCCAAGTGGAAGCAAATTAGTGCTAAAAGGAAATAGAAACCGAAAATTCAAAGCAAGAGAGCTTAGTACCTAGTAATTATTCATCTATAACCCTTGCTGACTTCTTTCTCTAGAGTCTCTTTGAAAGGGAAGTGGTGGCACCCGCCATCAGCCTGACTGACCGCTTGCACTTGCACTTGCACTTGCACTTGCACTTGCACTTGACCCTCGAGTCACCGGGTGTGCGTCACAGACCACTTGGTTTCCGTACGGTACAGTACAACAGTTCGCCCTCTCATTATCCATCCATTGCTCCTCCGCAGCCCAGGTTCCGTCTGGCTCTCCCTCCCTCTCCTAGGTTAGTTAACTTATCTTCCTTCTGCCATTGACAACTACCACTACCGCCATCTTCCCATCTTTTCTCCCTTTCTCAACTTTCTTGCTCTTTCCCCCATCACCCCCCCCCCCCCCCTGGCTGCATTTTTGAACCAGACCTTCTCTACACTGTGAAGCAGGATGGATTCTTGAATGCTTCATCTCCCTCAACGTGAGGACGCCGTGCACATCCCCTCTCCCTTTCTCCGCCCAAGTCGGTCGTTAATGCGGAGAAGCCTCCCAAGGTTGTCTAGGCCCCATGCTCCGAATGCTCTTCAGCATCTTGTTGCCTGAGCACAGCAAACCATGAACCTGATCCTCTCTCTCACATCTTCCATTCTGTGCCTGTTACCTAGCGCTTAACCCCCCAACCCCCTTTACGGTTTCATTGCTGTTCGTTATCTTATACAAATTCTTTTTGGCAGCTTGGTCCGTTAGCATGGCTATCCGCAGCGCAACTGGTACCTTTCTATTTCCTTGATCCAACCAGATCTGCTCCACGGTCCTTTTGGATTCTGTGTCTATATTCAACTACTTGCTCTTTATATGATCCTCAACTTTACAACAAAACATCATGCACCAACATCCTCGATCACCGGCCCCTCCGCCACCCGCATCTGCAACCAGGTCGAGCCGCTCGGAGGACAATCGAGAGCAGGACACTCGTCCAACTTCCCCAGCCTTCGATCCTAGAACATCAAGCAGAGGATTGGAGATAGAGACGGGCCCTGAGTCGCCAGAGCAGAGCCAAGCTCGACGACCCTCAAAAGAAGCCATAGCTAAACTCAACCAAATCATATCAGTAGGGCTTCCTTTAACGTGCTTGACCTGGTCTCATTTTTTTTCTTTTTTTGCTGGTGCTTTGCTGATACAAGTATCAATCTAGAACTACCATACCAAAGCCGCTCTGATAATCCTTCATTCCCGCGTTGAGCTCCCTCCATCCTTCAACAAAGGCTCCGATACTCCTAGGGTTAACCGCTGGGTACGTTGCTCTGATACCGCCCCGTCTGTCTTCAGCTCTCGAGACCGCCCAGATTAGATCTGACATGCTGATCACAACTAACACATTTTGTAGTTCAACGTTGAGCTAGAAGATACTGACGTGCTGCGAGAACAACTACGAACCTGGAGAACATGTGATGCGAGTGAGAACCGGCCTCCGCCGCTGATTATCGAGACATACCTAGACACTAAAGGGCTCACCAACAACCAAAGCCTCGTTGCCTTGGATGAACATGGGAAACGATTTGATGTTTTGGAGTCTCTGTCCTCGTCTCCAGAAAGGCGATCTACCGCACCCCTCTCGGCTGGGTCTGACGATGTGATTCTGGAGCGGTGGAAGGTGGAACTCGGAGGCATGTCTGATAAACTACCGACGGATCTTGGTTCTATTCTGCCTACGATCTACAAAAAGAGCATCGTCCTGTTCAGGTCCTTGTTCACATATTCTAAATTCTTGCCTGCCTGGAAGTTTGCGAAACGCACCGGCAGACTTCGAGCACACCCGGCCTTGCGGATCAAATACCGTATTTCGGCGGGGAATCCCGGTGCAGGGAGCTCGAAGCCAGATCGGTTGACGATGCCACTGTTTGAAAGCAGCGATAAAGTTGTGGAGACGTACACCTTTGGGGTGACGGATTCACCTGCTGGTCCATTCTCTGTCGAGGTCACATATCGAACGAGCTGCGAATTCCGTGTAGATGATTCTGAAGCCCTTCTTAGTTCGCGTTTCATGGGTGCCGATGATGAAGGCTTTCGTCCCTCACTTCCAAGTCGAGATTCGCATATGAAAGTCGCCAATCCGGAAGTAGGGTCGGTACCCCTTGAGAAACGGACTGTCGAAGATCCAGACTTTGGGCGTGCCTATGGCAGCCTCTCGACCTTCCATAATGTCGGGCCTACCACTAGCGCCAGTCCTATATCAGCCCTACGTGCTGCACAGCAGGCTGGCGCCACGTCTCCCTCACCACCCGCATCATCGTCTCGGAAGCCTCTTTCTATGAACAAAGCAAGTCCTATAGGCCGTGCGGCTGTTCTCGCCAATGAAGGTAGCCCGGGCGTCGTTAGGCGGCCTTCCATCTCTTTCCAGCCTTTCAAAGCTCCGCCATTGTCTGCCTCTCCCTCACTTGTTGATTCTCCGCTTGTGGCTTCTCCGCGGTCGACAGCGGCGCCTCGTATACCTATTTCTGAAGCCAAACCCGTGCCTTCCCCGTCTACAACAAGCTCTACCCGGAAGTCATTGCCTGGCACCTCCGAGCAGACTGTTGCTCCTTCGAGCTCTGCATCGCCGCGGCCTGCTTCTATCGCAAGATATAGTAGCGCTTTCTCGCACCGTCGTGCAAGGCCTTCTTCCGGTAACATCACCAGGCCTGAAGATGATACCTCAAGCGGGAGAGCTAGTGCCACCTCATCAAGCGCTCAACCTGGCTCTGGTTTACTTGCGGAAGCAACCGGGACAAGTGCTGATTCACTCCACGCTGACGATGAGAATATTTCGGACTTTCTAAAGTCGCTGGATATGCACAAAGATTTGCTGAGCAACTCGAAGTCGACTGCTCGTGACGATCAAGGACGCCGAACAACGGCCCCATCTGCTGCGTTGAGTCGCTTTCAACGCATGAAGGACTCCAATGCTGCTCTATCGGATTCCATTACCTCCTCATTGATGCTTCATCGCTCGTCCATCTCATCAAGCAGGCAGTTGTCTAGTGTTCCGCCAATGGTGGCTGGCACTTCAATTTCTACGGCTTCCTCACCGGGAAAGCCTATTTCCCCCCACACCCCCCACACCCCGGCTATACCTTCGCGCTTGAGCTCGAACAGTATTGTTGACTATAATGATCCTGGGAACAACGATCGACGAGAGTCACATGTCGACCACAGCTCGCCCCTCGATGAGAACGTCAGTGAAGGAACGGCCATGGTTAACCCATCGAACGTAAATGCGATCGATATTCCTACGTCACCCACGTCACTCTTTCCACCCACGTATCGTCGGCCAAGCTCTGCTGCTCACCGTCGACGGACAATTACGACAGATGACGAGGAAATTTTCCCCTTCAACCTTCGCAGCATAAGTTTGGGAGCTGAGGACAGGTCCAACAGCAGCCTCAGTGCCATGCAACGTCAGCATGATTACGAAAGCGATAAGGCCAGTTCGAATCAGACGCATAGAGTGCAGCAGGCCCCGCCCGGCACTGAGGATCCATCCTTGGCACCTAGCACTGCAACACGCACGATGGGTACCCATCGAGGTGCAGCCGCGTCGGGGCCGTCAGCAGTCACGTCGGGTCACCATGTGTATCAGCCGCGTTTTAGCCTTTCTCGTGGACGAGGCCTCTCCGGCCCTCAGTCTCTCAGCTCCGGGTCAGGTAGCCTTGCACGTGGCTCAACGATTCCTTCATATCTCACCGAACGCGATCACGATCGTGACGGCAACGCCAGTGGGAGCAACAGCGGTACCTCAATGATTGAGGGCCGACGACCCAGCACCGGCCGCAACAATCCTCCGCAATCGCAAGTTGAGGAGGAAGAACCGTTGCTGTTTGCGATGAGTGATTTCGGGGCCTCTCGCCGAAGCTTTGAGGAAGGCAGGCAAGGCAATCATAGCGCTGACCCCACTGGTAATTCCGGCGGATCGAGACGAGGCGGCGGCAGGCGAGGCGGCGGTCTTTCTGGCTTCCCTGTCTGGCCATGAAAGGACTACAATCAACCTCTCACGCCCACACTTTAACTCTGATTATCTTCTCGGATGCTTTCTGCGTCCTGGATGTTTGATTTTGGCCGCTTTCTCCACCATCTCACATACCACCAATTTCCTTCTATTCACTCACACATTGTTCACATCTTCGGTATTGTTTTGGTGCTCATTTTTTTCCATTATTATCTCAAGGCGGCTGGTAAGTTTATAGACTGGATCTCCAAGCACTTCCGCAATGTGCGTCTGGATCGGCGAATAAGGTTGACTTGATGTCCCGAATTTCTTGTTTCTTGGGTTGCAAAGCATGTTTGTCATACTACCGTTCTACTTCCCCCTTTGCATTCTGGCGTGGAAACAGCGTCCTTCGTATTTTTCTTCCTCCGTTCTGTTTTTTTTTTTTTTTTTTGGATTATCCCTCTTGTATCGAATTTCCGAGCGTCTTGCAGTTAATATCCTCATGGGCATTGATCTGTCCTTTCTGATCTGACTCTATTATCTTATCTTTATCTATTTACATTGCTACAATTCTCACTTTTCAATTCGCCATGTTTGTGCAGATCCTCGACCTTGCTTTTACCGGGACGAAATCCTCTTCCGACGCTATGACAACGGGACTTAGAGAGGCGGACTGTAATAAGCTTGTGTGGTGTTATACGAGCCTTTGGACATAATACACCAGCTTCTGAGAGCCGTCTTAGTTTACAACGAAGTTAAAAATTTTTGAAATATGCATTAACCTAACCGCCGGGGTATGAGTCTATGAAATGAGAAAAAAAAAGGAGAGAAAAAAGAAAACTTTTTTCCAATGCCTTGGGGGTTTTAGAGAAAGGCAAACAAATGCGCCACCAATTCCTTTGCTGTGCCAATGTTCAAACTTTTTAGGTATGGTACATTGTATCTGTTTGAAGACAGTTTGACTCATAAGATTGGCGATAATGATGTAGTGACTCATTTCCAGCACCCGAATAGCCTGGGCTGGGCTGCTGAAGCCTAGACTAGAGCCCGGCCGGGGCTATCGTGCACTTCCAGAACCGGTCAGCCTCTCGTTTGGCTGAACAACGAGAGGATGTGATTTGCCTGTGCTGGGCTGAGCCTTGTGATAGGTAGGAGGTAGATGTGAGGTCGATGGTAGGAAGGTAGACGGGGCTAGGGAAGATCATGGATGGTAAGTTAAGAGGAGGGGGCGGAAATCCTCATGGTGGGGTATAAGGGTGGTAGTATAGTTGACATGATCGGGGTTGATGATGTGGCGGATCCTGTCATGTGACGTGCGCCAGGAACCCCTCGTGCGTAAATGTTGTGAGTTGCAGCTGGACAAGGGAGGAGAGGGGAGGGGAGGGGTCCGGTCAGCCAGCTTATTCCGCACGACACGATGATGGCAAGGCTGTTGTGGGAAGCAGCTGGGGCTAGAAGCTGCGGGCATGAATTGACTCGGTATGTAGGATGACAGACCACCACCACCACCACCACCACGACTACCAGCGGTAGCAGGAGCAGGAGCAGGAGCAGCAGTTGGTGATGGGCCGATCTGGCCAGGCCCATGGGACTCAATGGGTCGGAAGAAATGGGATTACATCCTGCGGAAGGTGTTACCGGAAGCGCTGCGACGCTCCTTGGCCCGGAAATTGTGGGAGGATGTGGACTGTTGCTCGGGTCGGTTGAAACTCTTCTTCGCTTGCTGTCTGCCAGCGCCGGGAGTGAAGGTGACTTCACGCTCGCCGACCACCCCGCCCCGACGAGAGGGCTTATCCCTGGTGCGCATGTTCTGCGCGCGCGAGCCGAAGGAACGGTCACGGGTCGAGCTGACGTTGGTCGAGGAAGAGACCTCCATGCGGGGCGCTTCCTGGTTGCGGCCCTGCTTGTTGCGGCGGTAGGAGGCGGTGGAGATCTTGTTGGAAGCGGCGGGCTTGGACTTGTATTGTCCGCCATCACTTTCCGAATCGGAGCTGTCCGAGCTGCCCCGGACGTCGTCGACCATCTCCTGTTCCACGGCGGTGAGGCCTCTTTCCTTGCGGGGAGGCGCCTCGACCGCGGTGCTGGGGTTGAGAAGCTGGAATTCGCGCGATGTCTCGTCGATGGCGAAGTCCTCGTCCTCGAAGAGCTTGGCGAAACGGGAATCGCCCAGAGGGTTCTTGTCGGCTTCTTCGGTGGTGGTGGCGGCGGCGGCGGTAGGAGGAGCATCAACCATGTCATCGTCGCCGCCCCTCTTGAGGACACGCTGCGCCCTCTTGCGCTCATTCTTCTCCTCGATGCTGAGCAGCTTCTCGGCAAGTCTCTGGTTGACCTTGACGGCGGCCTTCTTCTTGCCACGGATACGGCTTTCACGTTCCTTCTCGATCTTCTCCCTAACACGCTTGGCACGCTCTTCTTCCCACATGTAGGGGTTGGTGATAAGCCTGGCCTCTTCGTAGAGCTGTTGAGCCACAAAGTAACCGTGCATGTAAGGCCGCAGAAGGCTGGTCCGGCCAATGAGGTGATCGAGGTTGAGAGTCTTGAGCTGAGGAACGGTCAAGAACTTGTAGTTGTCGTAAACAGAGCCCGCCTGGCTGGGGTTGAATGCGTTGGGGTCGTTGGGGTCTTCCGCCATTTCTTCCACAAGGTTGTCGAGGAACGAACACCAGCGAGGCGATGGTCCAAGCTGAGGAATCAAGAACGAATGCTGCAAAGGCCCTTCGTTGGCCGTGAGAAGCATTCCGCTATCCTTGCACCAAGCAACCGAGTTGATGTCCACAGCAGGCTCAACAGATGTCCATGGGCTTCCGTCACGGGGATCCCAAATCTTGATGATCTTCTTGTCCGCTGAGAGAATCTTGGGTTCCAGGGTCTGTTCGCGGGAGGCGGTGGAAGGCTGGAGGAATTTCAATGTGTGAATGGGGAAGCCATATCCCTGGTCCTTCTTCAACATGGGTCGGGACATGCGCAGATCATAGAGGAAGATGAGTCCGTTCGAAGAACCCGTACCGAGCGTTAGACCAGATCTGTGGAATTCCAGCGCTGTGATTTCTTGTCGAGACTCATCGGGATCGTGCGCGGGCGATACCAGAGTGCCGATCCTGCTTCTCGCCCTAGGATCGAAGAATTCGACAGTCCCGTTTGAGGTACCGAAGGCAAGAAGGTTGTGACTTTCCTCGGCAATTGCTCCTGTATTGACAGCGCCCGTATTGATTCCACCCTGCAATGTACCTCCACCAGCAGACGTAAAGTCATCGCCACCCACATCAACTTCGAAGCTTCGCATGTATCGTCCCATTTCCAGGTTCAATCGAAAAACTTCTCCCATGCCGTCGCTGTTGACGCCAACCGCTGGCACCAAAGCTTCTGTCGACTGTCTATCGTATACCAAGTCACGTCCGTATCTGGGAAGTCTTGTCTTGTGGTGCATGCCCGAGGGAGTGTGAAATTCGAGGGAGCGGTCGGACTGGAGGTGGAGGGACTTGGAGTAGTCCGACGAGAGTAGAAGGAAGGTAGTGTTTTCGACATCCGTATGACGCGCGTCTGCCGGTAGAGTCAGTAAAAGGAAGACTTCGAAGTGGAAATTCTCATCAAGGACTTACAACTCAGGGACAGAGCTTGTAACGAATGAACGTGCATCTGCGGCTTGTACGTTCCTGCGGGGATGCGGGTTAGTTGATTGTTCGGAGCAGTCGATGCCTGCGCAAGCGCATACCTGTGCTCATAACCCAATCTCCATCTTCACTAACGCGGATGCATCGACTGGCTTCCTCGAACCCGAAGTCCTAGTGGAAGGATTAGAAACTGATAAGAGCCGAACATGGATGGTGGTCGGGTCCTGACCTGCAGTAATTCAACTCTGTTCGCCCACTCCGGATCATTCTTCAAACTCCTCTTTCTCCGCCTAGCAAGCCATTCTGGGAGCTAGAATCATATACCATCAGCATCAATCTTGCTGTTTTTGCTGGAATGCTACCAAGTTCTTACCTCGCGGGCAGTATTGGAGCCCGAGATCGCTGTAAAACCGTTAGTGTCTCATTCGGGAATTTATGATCTGTTAAGCTCACTGTAGACCGGGACCTCCGACTGATTGGAGAGCTTCATGGCGAGGTGAGAGCGTTGAAAATCGCAGCGCAGCGCCAGTCAAAGTCGATAAGGGACTTATTTTTTTTTTCGGGCAAAAAAAGTTGCCGCGATCCAGAATATTACGGTATCGATAGCTGATGGAGGTGAGCACGTGATGCCGCGGAAAGCCGTTCTATCTGATTGGCTGGGGCGGGCCGAACCAAGCTCCGTTGCTGAATGGAAACTGGAACTGAATTGGTGAAAGACTGAATGGCGGCTGCGAAATCGAAGGGCCCCATCGGAACATCTGGGGGAAATCAGCGGCCATTTCGCCTCTTCGGGAATGCTGATATCGTACCTAATCCAATCCATCCATCCCTCCATTCATTTATCCATCTCCCTCTCTCAGGGCTTAGCTCTTGTATCTCTTCTGCTGCTTCATGGCGCGTGGTATTCTTTGACAAAATACATCAGTATCCTATATACACATACGCCCTTACCCCCCTTACTCCGGTACTACCTCGATCGCGAAGCCTTAAACTTCCAAAGAGCGATGGCTTCAGGAAGCTGATCTGTTTACTGACTGCTAAAAGGGTTCCATGTTATCGCACTGAGATATGATCATTTGGGAATGCGCTCCTGGAGATGAATTCTATTTCGCCAGTGGAAGCGTTCCTGGCTAGCTAAAAAAAAACATTCGCCAGTATTTCCAAAGGGGCTTTTAATATAACCATGGACTTTCCAGGCGGGTCCGTCACCAACATACGCGTCATTGTAAGTCATTTGCCCGCAAGCACCTTTAGCATCCATTTAACCTGATCTCCAGGATGGATTCTCGCAAATCTATTGGAGAATTTATACCGAGGAGCCTGGTATAACCAATATACCAGGCGAATCTCCTGCAAATGGCTATACCATTTTGAAACATCTCAGCCGCCTCAAAGATCTTGAGCTCAGGCTGAGGAATCTGGATTGCTTGG